AGTTGAAAATAAATCCACAAAATAAGATAGCTTGAAAAGACTGCAAGTAATTTCAAAGGCTGGGTGTATCCAACTTCGAACAACGTCGAAAAGGGAATGAGGACGTTTGTTAGGGAGACAGTTCGCACGTGGTGCCTTGGGTCGGACTGTTCCATTATTTTCGAAGGGGTGTTCCGTTTTGGGAACAATGGCAATTAGTCGGTTATCCAGGTAAGTATTCACGAAATAGACTGGCACTCTCAGAATTGAAAAATTATTTTAAATGTAAAGTTGATAAAATAAAATTGTATATGCTTAGACCACGAAAGCTCAGACCCTATAAAAACTAAGACCTACCAACTAAATAAATGCAAAACCACCAGATAATATGGTGTAATTATAATAAAGATGATTTCAAAATTGATATCCAAAACTGTTTAACATAAATAAATACACAGATGTAGATGATGCACTTAAAAGTTTTGAAGAAAATTTTCTGACTATTGCTAATAAACATGCTCATGTAAAAGAACACCGTAAAATCCTGCCCATGGATCACTGATCATTTTATTATGCAAATGAGAGAATGTGATTCCATTAGAAACAGAGCTACTGTAACTGAGTTATTATAGTGCTACCTCACCTGTAGCAATAATTGTAAAATTGCACTTTGCCTCATTATCAAACTTGTCAGTTGCTGTATATATTACAGTTGTACTTCCTACAGGATATGATATTCCAGATGAATGTGATGCTGTTATACTTAATAATCCAGTGTTGTCAGTTGCAGTAGGAGGAGTCCAAAATGCAATATTTGTATCATTTGACAACACTATGTCTCCTGGGCAGTCTTTAAGGACAGGTGGTTCAGTATCTTATTATAAAAGAAAGTCAAATATTGTATCAATACACAAATTAAATTTATACTAAAATACTTCTTTGATTGGTGTATACAGTATTTTGTACCTGAAGGAGCTTTTGTCTTGATTGTTTGATTGTTTTTTAATATTCAATATTCATTTCTTATTAAAATATATATTCATAAGAATATTTGGACAACTCATTAAGTTGATTTTGCTAAGTCAACTTATTCCAGTGGGAACCAAAACCAATTAAAATCTGAAAAGTAATTAATAGGATTTTTAATGCGAATAATTAAAACCAAAGAGAAATGAATATAACATATAAAATCAATAACAAGACACTTTCCTATGTAAGTATGTTTTGTGCATAGAATATACAAGTAGTTAATTTAGGTTTTGTAAGACTTTTGAGCACAAATAGAATGATACCATTTAATCTCTGCACAAAACAGACACTGTATTATGTATTCCTATATGTGCACATTGTGAACTACAATATCAAGCCTGGTATTGACATATGGTGTCCAGCAGGCATGTACAATATACCCAATTGTCTATTCTTATACACAAAAAATTATGGCATATAAAGGTGAAAGAAGGGGCTTCATATATCCTGTTTGGCTTTTAATATTCATCAAAAACAGAGGTTGAAAAAATTGGGATAAATTACATGACTATGCTACTATATAGAAATATATATTTTTAAAAATATCATTATTATAAAATGTTGGAATAGTAACAGTAATGACCTAATTACCTTGAATGTCTATAGTAAAGCTACACCGAGCTGTATTTCCAACAGAATCAGTTGCAGTGTAGGTAACCACTGTTTCTCCAAGAACAAATGTTGTATTTGACTGACGTGTATTAGTCAATATCGGTGTTCCAATGTTATCCGTAGCAGATGGTTCAATCCAGTAGGCAGTCCCAGTAGAGAGACCAGGACTAGTTGTGTAGACATTATTACTTGGGCAATAGGTGAAGTTAGGCGCTTGACCATCTGAATGAAAATAAATTAAGTCAAAGACCTGCTACTAAAGTGTAAAAGGTCATTGTGGCTGTTTCATCCAAACAAAATCGATAAACTGTAATTTCTAAAAAATTGTAAATTCTAAAAAAGCCTTAAAAGATTAAAGAACAATTAAGAATGCACATAATAAATGACAAAAATTGCACCCAGTAGAATGATGAAAACTAGAAAAATTGCAATTAAGTATGGTTCTGTTCAAAATATTTGTAATGTGTGACTTAAACGTTGAAATGTTCTTGATTAATTCTAAACTGGTTGGTAGAGTATTCTTTATTGCAGATTAGAAGAGTGTGGAGTGACAATATTGATTTCCTTTTAGTAGAGATAGGAACAATTTTACTCCGTGCTGATGAGTTTTCAGATGTACGTGTAAAATGTTCAGAGAGATATGGTGCAGCTTTATTATTTAATGATTTTAAGTACCTTGCAAAGTCTTAATAGTTTAAATCTATCCTCCACCTTAAAAAGGCCAAGGCTTGGCAATTCATTTTGACCAATATGAGTTCTTGGTCCAAACCATGATGCTGAATTAAAGGCAGTGCATAATAATTGTTTTGTACGTTTGTCCAAACAACCTGATTGACGATAGAGATACCTTATCATTTGCTTTTTTGATAATACTCTAGCAATACAATTACCAGAGACAGAATTATCAAGTACGATATTTAAATATCTGACAGACTTAGAACCATAAGTCTTCTACCAGGAATGAGGACGTTTGTTAGGGAGACGGTTCGTACGTGGCGCCTTGGGTCGGACTATTCCATTTTTTTCGAAGGGGTGTTCCGTTTTGGGAACAATGGCAATTAGTCGGTTATCCAGATAAGTATTCACGAAATAGACCCATAAGTCTTCTACCGGTAATTTTGAAGGATTGTATACTTTTCAGTCTGTTTTTGCTATAAAAAATATAATCAACTTCATTTGGCTGAGGTTAATGGAGAGTTTGTTGTCATTAAGCCATCTCTACATTTATGAAGAGCATCATTAAGTTTGTCGGCAACAATATGGATTGAATGCCATTTTTATATTCAGATTGGTATGTTCAGCTTTTGAACTGGGTTTGAATGTCTGCTGTTTTAACACCAATTTCAACTTATATATTCTGAGACAGGGCCAGGTCACTGCTGTTTCATAAAAATTCAACCAATGTTTCGAGACATGACTGTGGTTGCGCAGTGCGGCATGCTGTGCCATATGTGCTAAAATTTGTAACTAGTGATTATAGTCGCACATCAAGTGTCACCAAAATGCTAACTAGGTTCAGATGGGAATCATTTAATTTTACCAGATTCACAGCGGCACATCTTCAGTAGTATGTCAGAGGCTCCATAAAAGGATCCTCTCACAACCTAGCAGATACCAAAATGCGAATGCATACCAGCGCATCAATGCCAGGACTTCAAGATATCAGTATTCTTTTTTATTTAGAACAATAATTAATTGGAACGAGCTATCCCAATCCCTAACTTCCCTTCAAAACCTTGAGCAATTTGAAACCGCGTTTCAACCTAATTGTGAGTAATCATGAGAAAACACACACGGCTGCACCCCATGGTCTCATGGATCAGTGTTATCCGTTGCCATGCTATACATTGAAGATGAAGATAATAAATGATTTATTAACTGTTGTAATTTTCATAGAACTTAACAAACACATTTCAAATACGAAAAATTCATTCAAATTATTTCTACCAAATTGCTTACCAACCACAGATATTGTAAAAATACAAGTTGCTTTATTATTTGAGGGATCCACAGCTGTATATGTAACTTGAAATGTCCCTAAGTCAGCAGAAGTGTTAGGATAACGTGTAGAAGTGATGTTAGTATCACTATCTGAATTATCTGAGACTGTTGGTTCAATCCATGAAACTATGGTCCTCGAGCTCCCAGTCAGAGTCTCAAATTGCAAATTTGAAGGACAACCTTCAAACATTGGAGCTTCCGCATCTTAAAGAAGACAAAAACATGCATAACGATTTATAATATTGCAATGCATTTTTTTAACATATTAATAACAGCAAAAATAATGATAAATATTACAAAGTGCCTCTATTATTTAAATATATTTATTTTAAAAAAATCTTGAATTTTATTCTGAACATTGTTTCACATTTGCCATGCCACAGGTGACTGGGAGGTCATGGCCAAGAGAGTGGTACCAACACCTACTTAATCAATGGATGATGGCAACAGTTGCAGAGCATGAGATACTTCTCTTCCTTTGATTGCACAAACTCAATCCTAAGCAATAGGACAGTGGATGTAGGAGGCTAAATTACCTACAACTGTAAATGTTAGAATGTTAATAACAATAATAATAATAATAATAATAATAATAATAATAATAATAATAATAATAATAATAAAATATTATAAAACACCAATATTTGAGAGGAATGGCAGCTGAAAGAAAAGGAGTGTTTCAAAGAGTAGCTGAAAAAAAAAATAATGTAGTTTGCAAAGTAATGATGATGAAAATGCTTTTATATAGAACTCATCATTTCATCAATTGGTGATGGTAGGCAAAAAAAAATTGATGGTTATACTGTATTATACAATTAGTTGTTGGACAGATGGATGAGTGACTTAGTGACTTATAATAATAATAATATAGACATTTATATAGCGCCATTTGCCAAAGGATACAAGGCATTTAGATATGTGGACTAGGAACTCGCTAAATTACTTTCTTCTCCCATAATGGTCCCTTCATGTCTGTGCTACCCGGTAACCTGGTACCAGCAACTCTTGTTGGGGCTGTCTGTACCAGCACCGTCTTGAATGATGTACTGGGTTCTTTATAGTGCACATGAACCATTGTGTACACTGGGCCTACGGTTTATAGTCCTTATACAAGAAGACATGTTCTACCACTAGAATCATAGGCGAGCGTGCCATTCCAAACAGTGCCGATATTATGGCTGTTGGTTGCGATTCCCCTGCTAACCGCTCAGCCATTCGATTCACAAAGATTCTAAATGTTTTCGTCGGGAGATTGGATAGGAATGGTACTGTATACCTGCCCTACTTGACGTATTATATACTTGCGAAAAAAATCTTGCAAGTGATTCATGTGGAAATCGAACACACAACCTACAGATAACTAGCCTGGTATATTAACCACTAGACCACCAAGCTTGCACTTAGTGGCTAGTGTTGAATACTGCAATGCCATTTGTAAATTCTAAAATCAAGGAAGTGTTGCAGATTCAGTAGGAACAGCCTTCACCTCACTTGCTATATTGTTGTTTTACTTCAAATATGTTCCTTAACTGTATTTTCTTCTCTTCAAAAGTATTCCTATTTCTCTAATAATAAATGACAATTTAAATTTTTTCTTCTATACCAGTCACATGTGTACAAATGATCTGCCTAAATACATCTTAAATTCTAAAGTCAGTATGTATGCTGACGATACATGCCTTTCCATTTCAAAAGATATAAGTGAAATCAGTACAAAATTAAATGATGATCTAATCATAGTTAATCATCATTGGAACTCCCAAAAACTTGAACAAATATCTAAAATAGACATTGACATTAATATTGATGGGGCTAAGCTAAACAGAGTAAACCAGTGCAACATCTGGGAATCAAAACTGATGATCATGTAAAAACAAATTGATCATGTAAAGAAAAAAGTACTTCCTGGTTTATACTACCTGAGAAAATGTAACAGTCTGTTCCCCCAAAATATCTAATCAATGATCTACAACTCACTCATTGCACCCCCCCATTTAGATTATTGTAATATTGTTTGGGGTAGATGTAAAAAAAATTACAAATTCTCCAAAACAGGGCTAACATCACCAATGTTAGGAGGTCAGACTCAAGCACAGAAGCATTAAGAAAACTAAACTGGATGAATTTTAATAGTAAACAACATATTAATGAAGCAATGATGATGTACAAAATAATAAATAATGAAACACCCAAGTAACTTAAAAATAGATTTCATGAGCACAAACCCACTTATGATACAAGATCAAATGCTACTTTAACCATACCAAAAATTAAGACCGAATATATAAAAAGAAGTTTTACCTATAGTGGAGCAGATATTTGGAACAAACTTGATATCAAAACCAGAAATGCTCCAAATAAAAATATTTTCAAAACAATGATTACTGAGTGTGTACTGAGTAGGCTAATTAAGAATCTTAATTATTGTAAGCCCCAACCTCGTTCTTTTAGTATTAATCCTGTTTATCTTTTAAGTATTCAGTAGTTTTGTAGTCAATTTTTGTTAGTTAAAAGGACAAATGCAACCTTACTTCATTGTAGCTTTGTCATAATTTTGATTTAAATCAAGTTTGTTTTATTAAAGTTTGTTAGACATTTCTTTTTTTTCTTTTTTTTTTTGTACTTGATAGTTTATGGTTTTGTTATTATACAATTGCTTTTGTCAATGTGCATTTTTATTTTTAATTTAGTTTAATAAGTTTTATACAATTATATTTATGTACCTCATAGCCTTTTGTAAGAACACCCAGTGGGTGAAAGAGTCTCGTGAATAAATAAAGATTATTATTATACAAATTTATTTTAACTACAATCACTGAGATTATAGAATGTATATCAATACACATTACCCGATCAACAGTGGAGGGCCCGATTAGACTACTGTAGAGAAAATGTGAGAATAAGAAGAATAGCAAATTTAACCATTACAAAGGTATCCTCCCACTGCCATTGACTCACTATTCCAATAAGCTTCAACAATCAACTTGGAAAATTATATTGGTTGGTATACAAGATTGTTGCTAATGCTAAATAAAATGGAGAAAAGGTACAATATTATTTTTTTTTAGTTTTTAGCTAGGGTATGCACTGCATACTTTGCTTGCACTGACAGTCTACCACTGGATTCAACTGGTATTAAACCGTAAAATGAACGAACTTTTCTTTGATTCATAGAATGATACAATATACCTTTTATGTAAATGACAACTAATTGCATAATAAACACATACCTGCAACAGTGATGGCGAATGAACATTTTCCCACATTTCCAGCAAAATCTGTTGCAGTGTATACTATAGGATATGTACCGATACTTTGATGAGAGTATTGTTGGATATCTGGATAACCTATGGTAATTCCACTTTTACCAGCATTGTCCAATGCAATAGGTTCGCTCCAGCTCACATTACCGTAACTTTCCCCTTCATCTGTCATTACTGTTAAATTTTGTGAAGGACAATTTTCAAATGTTGGAGCCTCACTGTCTGTATTTAATAGAATGACAAAAATAAAATAATAACAATAATAACGTTATCATGCAATTAGAATGAAGTTCAGAGGACATAATAGAAAATAGAATCTGAAGGATGTAATCAGGGAGATGTAAATTCTATAGTGTGCGAAATAACTTGACAACAATTGCTATATGGGTCAGTCATCTTGTTTTATATCTACTTGGTTGCTCAGTGATATGATCAATACATTAATTGTGCATGAGCCTTACCCGCACGTATGAGAATGATTTGCACATAGGATGAATAAACTGATAGTGAATGATGGACTAGAATTTATTATTAGGTAGGTCTAACGTCCTGGTAGACATTCGTTAGAAATGTAGTGTAAGCATTTATGGTGAATTATTTCAACATTACATTGTCCTTTCAGTCTGTAGCCCAGGTGGTCTAGGCTGCATTCATGTTCACCGATGCTGTAGTTGTTAGATTCATTGTGTGTTTAGAGATTGCCGTAGCAAAGAAATATTCATCAATTAAAGCTAATAATTTATTGTTTTATTGTGAAAAGCCATTAAAATCCTACCCCTAAAAAAACAAACCAATATGCAGACGCAGATGTAACTAAGAAAATTAGCTTCTTTTAGTTTTGTGATTCAAATAAATCTGAAAAAACCCTATAATTTATTAATATTTATTCAACTTTCCTTTATGAGGGTGCTCTATAACAGCGACGCTGACTCAAAGAGGCACTCATAAAAATTATAAAAAAACAACACAGTAATGAGTAAAATACAAAAAGCACAATTAAAAAAAAAATAGATTCTCAACAAAATATTGAAATTATTGTAAAAAAACAATACAATATAAAAGTTATTCTCAAAAATCAATAAAATTATAAAAATTTCAATTTGTATAAAATCAATTATTAGCTACATTTAAGTGCTTTTTTAGTTCTCCCTCCAATTAAAGACCACTTTGGGACTGGGTGTTTGGTTTTTAGCAGCTTTGGTCTCTAATTAGAAAAATGAAGATAAAAGACATTTGTTAATTTGGGACCACAGAAAAGTGGTCTTTAATTGGAGGGTCTTTAATTGGAGGTGGTCTTTAATTGGAGGGGTCTTTAATTAGAGGAAGACCAGTATTTTTAAAAAAGTGAATAAAATATAGTTAATGATTGATTTTATACAAAATTTTAGGATTAAGATAGGAGGGACCTTTATAGCTAAAACTACTTTACATAAAAGTGTGTCCGCAAATCAAATCTTAAAGAAAAATGATTACATTATTGACAAACTATGCATACTGTTTATTGATTAATTAAGCAATTAATTGAACAAGTAATTCAGGATCCAAAATACAAGTTCCGAAAAGATTTCAGTCATAGGTTTGGCTGAGTATGCCAGTGTAATAATAATCATTATAAACATGTTATATCGTCATTGCGGACTTATAAAATCCGCATACGCTATAAAACTAAAAGAAAGTGCATACTTTTGGAGTCTGTATTGAGCCCAAAAAATTCGCAATGAAAATATAACGTGTTTATAATAATAATAATAATATTAATAAAAATAATAATAAAACATAGAATTAATAAGGCCATAGAAATTCAAAATAAACAGCATTGTGGAATTCATATGAATGAAAGAGGTACATTGATCATTTAAAACCAAATTAATTAAACTATTTATTTTTTATTTATTTATCAAAACTATATAAAAATAAGGTATTATAGCTGTAAGAAGAGCAGTGGTAGAAAAAACTAATTGCATCATAAGAAATATCAATAGGTCTCCTGTTCCAATTTCAGTAGGTCAAGTTATCTATTTGATTGATCACAAAACGAAGAACTATGACACAAGAAGAAGAAAAGAAACTCTGCCTCTACACTAAACAACATTAAAATATATTACACTTCCATCTTTATCCAATCATCTACAAGGTTCTTTTATGTGCAAATGTGCACAAGCTATAATGATTCTAATGGAAGTGTATTACATACAGGCGCACATTCATTACCTCCAACCACCACATTAAAGATGCAAAAAGCTTTATTTCCTGATGGATCGGTAGCTGTGTAAATAATCTCAGTTTCTCCTGAATATTCTCCTGGGACTTGTGGGCTATTTATCGTTGCGATTCCCGAATTATCTGTTGCAGTTGGCTCATCCCAAGTGACATACGCACTGTTGTTTCTTAGAGGATCTGGAGTAACTGATATGCTATCAGGACAATTCATGATCTTGGGAAGTTCACAATCTGTTGAAAACAATAAAATGATATCATAATTATTGTTGTTAAGTTTATTACTCTGTGGCAAACTAAGCAAGTCTCTTATTTTACATCTACTAAGGACCTTACTCCTAAAGAATATCGTAGCTCTTTGATTTATAAATTTGAATGCCCTGGCTGAGTTACATACTGTAGGAAAGACAGATAGATGTCTTAAGATAAGAACAAATGAGCATGCTCTCAAATCAGATAGCAGTATTCATGAGCACATACAACAATGTGAGGGTTTTAAGCATATTATTTAAATCAATAATACTTTCCTGAAAAAAGTAAATACCTCATCACTCAAGCAAGCTTTAATATTTGATAATACTAAAATTCTGTATGGCTCTCTACATTTGTCACAAATTTTATTTATGGAGGCTTTGGCTATTAGACGTTTTAAGCCTATTTTAAACACTGGGTTGAGAGCATCCGAGGAGCTTTCATTATTTACTTAATTCTGAATTGTAATCATATCACAAGTACTTTTCTTCTACAATACTACAACAGAAATGTGTTATATAATATTACTATTATTATAGTATTGAACCAGGTTATCTGCAACTGAATAATGATCTTAGCAATTCTTCAAATACATGTCTTAAGCTTTTTATTTATTCTTTCTTTATACTGAATATACACTTTCAATACATAGTACTGGTTTCCAAAGTGGTTCAGTTTACTTACCTTTAACTGTAATTGTAAACATACAGAAGCCATTATTTCCAGTGGCATCGGTAGCTGTGTAAGTCACCTCAACCTCACCTATAGTAAATACTGTATTTTGGTCATGTGTACTTGTAACATTGGGCTGCCCATCGTTGTCGTTAGCTGATGGAATGATCCATGTTACCAATGAGGTAGTGTTGCCTGGAATAGCACATTGTACCAATGATGGTGGGCATGAGGTAAACCATGGCGAGGTGTCATCTAAAAAGCCATTAACAGAATGTACATTATTAAAATTGAGCACATCTATTCCTACTGGAAAAAAAAAATTTCAAAGAATAATTAACAGCACATTTTAACGATTTAAATGATACGTATAATTTTTAATTAATTTATTTATTTTTGGTTAATTCTTTTTATTTTTTACTATGATTTTTAATGTATTATAAATTCTAACCATCATGTTTTGTACTCACTTTACTTATTTTTTACTGTATTATATTTTATGTGAAAAGGTTCCCACTTTTGTGTTGGGCCCTTGGCCCATAATTTCCTCTTGGACAGCTTGTCAAACTTGTAATAAATAAATAAATACTGAAAAAACTATAATTTTCATTTCATTTCATTTTATTACATTGAAATATACAGAAGTACAAAGATATATCAAAATACAAAAATATAATAGCGAAAAATGTCATTAAAAATGATTAAGACCACAAATTCAGAAAACAGTACACGAATAATTATTTATAAAAAAAAAAAAAAAAAAGTTACAAAAATATTCATTTATCAAAAATAAACTTTTGAGTTACCTTGAACATCATATACCACTTGTGAAAATTGACAGAAAAAACAGATATTAATGCCAGGATAACCCGTGAAAGTTCATAAGAACTTGTTTCCAATGGGGTCCTAAAATATTACATAGAGACAAAAATGGAGACAGACAAAAGAAGTAGTATATGATGTACAAGATAAAACAATTAATAAAAAAAGAAGACCTACCTAACAGCGTTACCCAAGCTACTGTATATACAAGTTAGATATAGCATATGTGCAATATTACAAATCTAATCTTTTGTCAAGGTGGCGCTTTATTTTTATTTTAAAGCCCCATTCCCGGCAAAATTTCAGTTGTTAAGAAAAATCTAATTTTTGTATAATGTTATAAAGATTTATAAATATACGGAATTGCTAGTTTAACGGAATTTAGACATTCCTAAGAATGAAAAAAATGTGAAATAAGACTGAAATTTGATTTTTTGTGTTCCACACAAAAAATAAATGCGGATGAATTTTCATGTTTGCTTTTGCGATAGGTCGTGAGAAGAAATATCGTAACAAACATTAGCCTATCCATCGCTGCTAGGCTAGGCCTAGCAGCGTTGGATAGGCTCTGTTTGATTTAGGTTCTGTTATCACACATAAAAACGGCCGACATGATATTTTCCGTTGCTAGTAATGACACTTGTGAAATATAATATTTCATAGGAATTATTTCAAATTTGTTAAAAAACTGATTCCGACTGAGATTTTGACACTTAAACAAACATATCTCAGCCTTATTTGAACGACCGCATTGTGTGAGATGCGAAGTACAAAAACTAATCTCATTAGAGAGGGCGCACTTTATTGACTGTATAAAGTATACATAAAAGCGAGAGTATTCCAGTGGATGCGATCTACAACCTCTGAATTTGCCTATTAACGATGAATTCGTCGAGAAAATGGTAATATTTTATGAGAAATAGTCTGTATTTCTCATTTTTTTATTCTTTTGCGTAAACATAAAATTCATGCCAATATTTTTCCATGATTTATAATAATTGGAGTAATGCAAATGCATATTTTCTATAAAAAAAAATTTTTTTTAAAATCAGTTTTTAGTGAAATTTTGCCGGGAATGGGGCTTTAAACATATTGAGTGATGTTGATTGTTTTAGTATGATGGTAGTGAGTTCCATTGTTTGATTGCTGTGTAATAAAATGTTGTATTGTTGGGATGTTTAACAATGGGATACGAAAGTTTAACGAGCTACCTCTAGTAAAATGATTATGTAAACCATTTTGTCGTATGGGCTAAGTTGATGAAAGATTCTGTAAGCGTGACACAATTTAAAGAATTCAAATCTATCCAAAAAAAAATTGAGACCAGAGAGTTGAGAATGACCAACATGTGTCCTGGCACAAGTCCCAAGATTAAACAGATGGCTTTATTTTGTGTTATTTGAAGTTTCTTATAAGCGAGCATTTTGTTTAAAGACGATGACCAGGAAGAAGCATAGTCAATAAAGAATACAATATTTTGATAGAATTTGTTGTTAGAAGATGAGAATGCCATTTAATAAATTTCAATCTAGTGTTTGCTTTCCTGACGACGTTATTCCCAATTTGGTCGCCGGACACATGTTGGTCAATCTCAACTCTGAGATACTTCACAAATGTTTCATTTGTAATTATTTGGCCATTACATTTAATTGAAAACTCATAAAGTCAGGTTCCGGAGGGAAAAAAAATGTTGATATGTTGTAGCACTGACAGGGTTGTCTGAAATATTTTGTGATATTTTAATCAGGAAATTATAAACTGAATAAAAATTGTAAGATGTTCAGTTAGAGTTTACTATTAAATATCTGAGTATTATAGTTAAATGACCTTTTGACATATCTTGCTGTGAATGTTTACACCTTTACAATTACGAACATTAATGAAATGACAAGCTTTTGTTTACATGAGCTTTTGAGTCATATGAATTTCACTGGGTACAAAAACCAAAGATATCAACATATTGCCCTGTATGGAAACAGTATGTAAACTAATAAAGACACCCATCAGACTAGACTCATACCTTGTACAGTGACATCGAATTTGCATATCTGAATATTCCCAGATGTATCTGTGGCAGTGTATATCACTTCAGTTGTTCCCAATGGAAATATACTTCCTGAATCAATGTTACTTGTCACAGACATTATTTCAATATTGTCAGTCACAATTGGTTCATCCCAAACATATGTTGATGTGGTGGTAGCGTTGGTAGCCGATACGGACAAGGATCCTGGGCATTCCATAAACCTAGGAGGTTCATTGTCTAAACACCAACAACAATACAGATTAGAGAATTTCAATGAGGTTCAAATAAACATAAAGTACAAACCTACACATTTTATAAATACAAGATTAAATGACGAAAAACCTGACAAAGACAAAAAGCTGCAAAAATAAATAAATAAATTCTAAGTAGCCATAATCAAGTGCCAATTACATGCCACATAAAGCTGCTTACTTCTGTGGCGAATCATTTTCTATCTACTGTATAATCTTAGACTTATCGTCTTATTGGTGGGACATCGACAATGAGTATGCTGTGAACGCTTTTACCAAGTGTCAAGGGGTCCGAGAATCCAAAACGGTTAGGAACTACTGCCCATTCAATACCATCTCACCAATTTCATTGGTGATGTAATCACCAATGAAACGTGAACATGAACCCACTATTTGGCTGTTATTTTGCATTTTACACATGTGCTGTTCATGTGGTTTTCCTATTATTATCTTACTACAAATACAAAAGTAAATTTAAATTCCGAAATACTATCATAATCGTACTACAAATATAAAAAATACAGTAATGACTACTGTGGATCAGCAAATTGGGTTCTAGCTTTTTATCGCCAGTTGCATCAATGCTACCACCAGCTGCATTGACACTACTGTTTACTTTGTGGTCTGGCTAGCAATTTTGTAGACTCCAGCACTGTGGTTCAGCACCGAGTCGATAGCTCATTTTTTGGTGTTTTCTGTGTTTTTTCGTACATAATATGCCAAAACCACACTAAAACCGACCCTACTCACTCGATACGTTTTCAATAGTAACCAAATGTGTAAGGCTCATTCAGCAGTTTTCAAGTATATAAGCTGACTGAGATTTGTGCTTAAGTGAGTTTATAGTAAGATAAAAAGCATTAACAAATTATTATTATTATTATAATGATGCAATCATCAGCAAAGAGCCATATAAATAAATTAGAAACTTTAGAAGAGCCAAGTACTATCCCTGATGAATTGCTGAGGATAACTTTCTAATCCAATGACTACTTCACTGGAAGCAGGGCCATCTAAGATTCAACTCTGAGAGGTCTTTTTATTGAGTCCCTACACAAGTTCATACTATGTTGTCCGTTTAGTTCCAAAACTCGACGATACAATTCTCGTGTATAATGGTGAAAGGATTGGTAGGAACAGGGCCGCAACATGAACGCACCTTTCTTGACCCACTCACTGAAAAGATGGCAAGGAAGATAATACCGAATTGACACTAAGTAAAAGTGACGAATCTTTCCTCTTACAAATGCTATTTAACATAAACACTGAAGAAAATACTACGAATGATATCCTTACTGAAAATTGTTTTGTCTTTGAAAGCAACAAAGGTTTGAGTGTAATGGGTCTCAATATTGTTACACTTACAGGTAAATTTGACAATTTCAAACATTTAATTGAGAATAATTCGATTGATGTAATTGCATTGAATGAAACAAGGCTTGATAATACCATAAGTGATCGTGATGTCAACATTAATGAATACGATATATATAGAAAAGATCGAAACAGGGAAGGAGGGGGAGTAGCTATGTATATAAATTGTAATGTTGGATTCACACATAATTTAAGGAATGACCTCATGGATTCAGAATTAGAGATGATGATTGTGGAAATTAGACAGCCAAATACTAAACCAATCCTCGTACTTGCATGGTATCGTCTCCAAACTCAGAGATGAGTGTTTTTGATAAGGTCAGTAATGTTCTTGAAAAAATTGAGAGTACCAATTATGAAATTACTGTATTATGATTGGTGACCTAAATTGTGACCTCATGTCACCAAACAAGACATGTTACACTACAAGAATGATTGATTTAACTAATAGTTTCCATCTCCATTAATTAATTTCTGAACCGACAAGAGTAACACAAAACAGTAGGACCCTTATAGATCATATTTACACGTCAACTCCTAACAAAATTAATAATTCAGGTGTTCTTCATACTGGTATCAGTGATCACTCCGCAGTTTTCGTAATTCTTGGTAGGGAGAAGAAAGTAAATCGTAAACACAAATTCAAAACATGTAGAAATTACAAACATTTTGATGTAAATAAGTTTAAACAGGATATGCAAAATCTAAACTGGCAAGAACTTTAAAGCTTGTGGTAATGTTGATGATGCGGTAGACTACTTTGAAATCCAGTTTTTAAAAGTAGCAAATAGACATGCCCCCCCCCCCTTAAGAAGAAGAGAGTTCGTCATCAAAGCAGCCCATGGCTAACAGATGAGTTAATAAATTTGATGCGTGAGCCTGACATGCAAAAGAAAAAAGCACATAAACATAGTCTTCCTGAAAACTGGTCGCAATATCGCTCACTAAAAAACAAAGTCAATGCTAAAATAAAAAAGTGCAAAATGGATTACTTTTCTGAGAACTTAAATACTAATGACATTAAAAAAATCTGGAAAACCATTAAACACATTGTACCTTCCAAAAGTTGAAAATGAGCAAACATCTGATCATACCAAAATTGCTAATACTCTGAATGAATTTTTCTCCAAAGTAGGTCCTAATCTTGCTAAACATTTTCCTGAATGTGAGCCATTAGATGAAACTAATGACAACATACATGTAGATTACAAAGACAAATTCTTTTTTAATTATGTTGATGAAGAATATATTTTAAAACAACTCAGTTTACTCACTCCAAATAAAGCAACAGGGAGCGATAAACTACCCACCAAATTAGCCAAGGCTGCTGTAAATTCAATTGTAGGTCCACTTACATAGGCCTACATTGTAAACCTATCTCTATCTAGAGGCCAATTCCCACTTAAATGTAAAAACGCTAGAGTTTGCCCTGTATTTAAAGGTGGCGATAGGTCTAAGGCAAATAACTACAGACCAATATCAATTTTGTCTGTTTTGTCGAAGGTACTGTACTTGAAAGGGCAGTGTTTGATCAAGTGTACCAATTTATTATTCAAAATGACATGATCTATGTGTGCCAGTCAGGTTTCCGACCAAATCATTCAACTATGACCTCATTAATTAATGTCACAGAAGACTGGATAAATGCTATTGACTGTGGGCAATATACAGGTCTAGTAATGCTAGACCTTAAAAAAGAATTTGATACGGTCGATCATAAAAATCTTATTGACAAACTCAAAACATTTAAGCTTGATCAAGTTGTTATCAAATGGTTTGAAAATTATTTAAGCGACTGTTCACATTCAACTCATATAAATGGGGTACAATCGAATGATTGTAAAAGTGTTTGCGGAATACCCCAAGGTTCTATCTTGGGGCCGCTATTATTTATGTTATATGTGAATGATTTGCCCAAAAGTGTTCTTAATGTCAAAATAAGTATGTATGCCGATGACACAATAGTTTATTATTCATCTGCAGATATTCACAGTCTCATTGAGACCCTCAATACAGACCTTGAACGTATCAGAAAATGGCTAATTAACAATAAGCTTACATTGAATGTAAACAAAACCGAGTGTATGTTTATTGGTACACAACAAAAACTTTCAAAGCTTTCAAATGTTGATCTCAATTTACATATTGAGAATACTTGTTTGAAAAGAGTTGAAAACTGTAAACACCTTGGTGTATATATTGATGAGAACTTGTCATGGAACAAGCAGATTGAAAATGTAAAAAGTAAAGTTCTACCGGGCCTGTACTACCTAAAGAAGACTTCTGGATTTCTATCACAAGACCAGCAATCTCTCATGTATAAAGCAATCATTGCCCCCCACTTTGACTACTGTAATGTGGTGTGGGGTAGATCCTATCAAAACCTAAAATATAAATTACAAGTTCTACAAAACAGAGCTGCAAAAATAATTTTAAAAAAGAAGAGAGATGAGTCAAGTACACAAGCCCTGCAGAACTTAAAATGGGAAAACCTTGAAACTAAATTGTATCATTGTTAAGCTGTCACTATGTACAAGATTTTCCATAATCTAGCACCATCTTATCTGAATAAGCACTTTGCACTCAAAGAAAAAATGTATAATACACGATCCAGTGATGTTCTTGAGGTAAAAAAAACCCAACACTACCTATAAGGAGAAAAGTTTCAGTCACCATGGTGCTAAGTTATGGAACAATCTTACAGATGATGTAAGAACTGCACCAAATGTCAGAACCTTCAAAAAGCTTTTGTAAACTAAAATTAACAAGTGTTACTGGTGCTTGTTCTTTGTAAATTGTGTGTTTTACAGTACCTGTATTCTTTTCCTTTTATCGTTTTTTATATTGTTATAATGGCATCACGGCCTTGTTGAAAAACACCGGTTGGGTGATACAAGCTTCCGTGTGTAAATAAAGATTTTATTATTATTATTATGTCCATTTCATATCGAATACGTGACAAAGTTCAACAGGAACTTCCATGGTATTTTTTATTAAACAAAATTACAATATTATCAATAATACATACCTGTGATAGTTACAGTCACAATACATGTAGCTTCATTGCCAGCAACATCACGTGCTGTATATACAACATCTGTTTCACCAAATGGAAATATATTCCCCACATAATCGTCTGTGATTGTTGGTTGGTTACCTGAATTGTCTGTTGCCGATAATGATGGTAGAGAAACTGTACTAACATTACTTCTAACATCTGTAGTGCCATTCACTGACAATCCAGCACAATTGGTAAATACAGGAGCATCATTATCTGACAGAGAAGGACAAATTTATACTTCCAGTTGTAATATTTTTATAAAAATCATTTTTGTAGAGTGCTTCACATTTAGGTTGATCAACTTAGAAACGTCTGCTTATAAGTTATCATTTTAATTGCAATGTTATTAGATAGCTGCTGCTGCTGCACAATCCATCAAATATATTTCCCTGCATAAAATTACATTTGGAAAATCAATTAGGCATAAAAAAAAAACTAATAATCATGGATTTATTTAAGAATACAAATATATGATGGATTGATCCATTGGAGGATTGATTGACAAAATTCATAATCATCACAAATAATTCAACTGTTATATATCTGAATAATTTTACCTTCAACTGTAAGGTTAAAGAAGCAGGATACATAATTTCCAGACGGATCAATGGCTGTATAATTAACTAGCGTTGTTCCATCCAAAACAGTTAAAGACACACCTGGGTTATGTGTGATTAATGTGGTCATAACAACATCATTGTCAGCAAATATTGGAGGCGTCCAAATGAAGGTCACAAATGAGCCAACTCCTGTTTGGCTCATTGGGCAGTTGTTGGTCAAACGGGGTGGTTCAACATCTGTAATTAAAATTAAGTCAATGGTACCAGATGTAAGATTTTTCAGTTACATTTAATTACCAGGTTGTGACATATTTATTCCAAATATAAGAAATAATTACTGAAACAAAAAAGTCATTAAAATATCCCAAAATTTTATTTTAAATATTCAATTTGAATTTATTCAAAGATCACAAATGAACTGAATTGCAGGTCATGTACATTATACAATAAAAATCCATTAAATTAAAAAGTAAAATTGGATAGTGCAACATCTTAAACAAATTAAAGTACTCAATAGAGGTAATAGCAAATATCATATTTAACCATTAGAGTGTGCATTGAATTTTAGTACAAATATAGTTAAGGTGACCTAAAAAATAAAATTACATACTACTGTCATAATAGTAATATATAATATTATATCTCCTAAAGTGGCAATTTTTATTTGCCGTTTTTGGATAATGTTTGAATAAAATACATATTTAACTAAAATAATATTGTACGACACAATATCAATAGTATAATATAGATTTTTTATACTTCACTTCGTATCTAACAGAATGAAATAACACTAATTATAAGTCAATCCTGATGTCATCATCGCAACTCCGAATGTTATTTTCCTATCCCCAACCATGCACAAATTTCCATTAGCGCATGGTTTCATTTGCTTAATCTTTCATTCATAAAACTAGGTTTATTAGGACCTGAAAAAATCCCTTCAAATTTAATAATATGTATGAACAATTTAGGAATGCCTTGAATCAATAAACCCTAATAAACTAAAAAAATGAAAATTTAATAGGAATATTTAAGGTCTCCATTTGAAAGATACAAGGAACAAATTGAAATGTAGGCAGTAGGCCTAGCATAGCTTAGGCCTAGATCGATTTATAGGCCTAGATGAAATCATCACACAATTTTACCTGTACGCACCAACACCAAAAATGTGATTTCTGTATTCTCTCAAATGCTTGAAAAAATTATTTCTTAAAGAAATGTCTATTAAAATAGAAAACTCATAACAAGTTGAAACACTCAAATATTATTCATCATACTGCTATGTAAACATACATACCATTTAAACTACACTGCTGAGCTAGCACGCACCACAGCAACAATCTGCACACACAAATATACTGACCTATACTGACCATATCACTACAACAACCGATGTTTACTACAACAGTTTGATTATAAAACTAACATTAAAAGATGGCAATTGACTTTTAAAGCAATTAGAATAATGCTCATCTATAAATATATGGCAATTACTGTATTATATTTAGGTTAGATTAATGCATTCAAGGAATTCCTTTGGGGCTTGCAGGCCCTCAGGAATTTTCATGCATTATTCTAACCTCTAATAATTTTTTACATAGTGTATGATACGTAACTTCATGAGAAGTTATCCTGCCGTTACAGAAATTGAACCAAGGACCCAAGGATTAGAAGGCAAGCATCTTTCCACTAAGCTTTACAACTCCACTTGTACATAACAGTACTGAATATCAATGTTACCTCTTTTCACCAAAGAGAACAAGCAGGTACTTTGAGGCAGTGGCGGTGCCAGCAGGGGGCTTGAGCCCCCACCGGACAGGTCAAGCCACCCTGCCGGACACAGCTTGTTGGGCAGTCAGACCATAGAACATGTCAAAATAGGCCCACACCAAGGCAACACATGTCTGTCACAGTCTGAGAGTGCCATTTTCGGCCATCCAGAGGTTGAAATTCTTTAAAAAAAATCTCATTTGGGAGGGGGAACCTCCTCTCAATCCCTTCTTCCAGCTCGAGCCTACGAGCTCAATCCCCCCTGCTGCAACTTAGCCCCCCCCCCTGAGAAAATATATCCTAGAGCCGCCACTGCTTTGAGGGTTTAATGATGCCATGCACTGAATACCCCAGATGCAATGTTATGAAATTTAATGATGCCAATGCTCTGAATACCTAGATGCAATCTTATGAAATACTCCCCATACTTGTTTAACCACTTATACGTTATGTCCTATATAAGGTCAAATTTTAGAGGTTCAAACTTACCAACTATTGTAACATTGAATGAGCAGTTTGCTTTGTTCCCTTGTGTGTCACTAGCTGTTAGCAGTACCAAATCGACACCAATCATAAATGCTTCACCACTTGCTGGACTTGAAATAATACTAGGAATTCCATAGTTGTCGGAGGCTATAGGATCTGGCCAGGTAACAACAGCATATGGCAATTGTGGACTTGTAAAGTTCAATATATCATCCGGACAGTAGTCAAACTGAGGTGGCAGCACATCTTATCATTGAAGAAATAAATTGAAATCATTGATATGATTTAATGCTGAAGTTTATAAAAAAAGATGAGCACACATCAAAAACACAGTTTGTCATAATGCAAAATCAACTGCAGTTGGGTGGAATCACAATAATAATTAATTCATAAAATATGATTAGGAAAATAAATGAAATGTAAATAATATTACTCAGCTGTAAACCTATAAATACAAAAGTACAATACTGGCCTACCTTTAACAAATATAGTAAAGGAGCATTCAGCTGAATTGCCAAAATTATCAGAGGCAATGTAATTCTGTGGATGTTCACCAATTTCAAATATATCTTCCGAAGGAGGGCCTAGCAGAGAGGAAACTGCGTCGTTATCTTCTGCTTCTGGATGATCCCACTCAACAAAAGCTGAAGAATTATAGCCATAAGGAACAACAGTTGTGTCATTAGGACAAGAGATGAAAACAGGTAATTCATTGTCTGCAAATACAATTGGAGGAAATTGTTTTTGTTAGTAATTGCCGTTCTCAATCATGGAAACTGAATAAAGAACTAATCCAAAGAAGTTATTAATCAGACTAATTACTTTTGTTTAAATTCACATTCTTTGGTATTTGTCTGATTTCGCTATTTTAAATTATTGTTAGTACAACTGCTATTGCAATATCAAAAACTAGTCGTCATTTGTGACGTCATTATTTTCAATTTCCAAATGATTCTTCTATCAAGGAGCAGCCTTCTTGTGTGTAAAAAGATCAAAGCTGTTGCTTTAACAATGTGATCAATCTTTTGTTGTGAGGTCAAGTTCTGCTAAACATGTGAACACAACAAATCTAATGCTCTGTTCACACTAGCACATTTTACATGGCAAATTTGTGATGTGGTGATATGTGGCCATAAGAATTTCATATGACACCCAAATATGGGTATATCACATTTATTTGTCACATAAATTTGACAGTGTGTAGAGACCTTAACAAATCTAAACTAATTACAAATAACTTCAAATTCAAATATAAGTTTAGCCAAGAAATTGTGAAACAGTGGTCAAGAAAGCATCAGGCAGCTAGGACCTACATCGAAATGCAGACGGTGAGAGACAACTTTTACGTGTGGAACAACATTCTGATAACAGAATCACCTGATAGTTTCGACTGATTTTTTAAGTGCTTTAAGAAATGCTTTGATCCTTGGCATATGTAGTATGGTCACAAGTAATCTAATAACAGAATTTCAGATACCTGGATAGATGAATCTTCACCAATCAATATTATTGCATATGTTATTGACCTTTTCGATAACTCAACTTACAGGCCTACTATACTATTGGAGCATTTAGAATTTTGCATACCTTCTACTACTCTATGGAAGCATTTGGCATAATGTTACCTATAGTTCCCTAAAATATGGAAACATAGCATTTGGCATATTTTTGCTCCCTTTGATGAGGTGTCCCTGCCAAGGGCCACACCCACCTCAGTCTCATTGTGGCTATAAGTGAGCAAAATTTTAAGAATCAGCTCTTCTAAATGCCTGTCAAATTTATCAAAAATACTTAATGATTAATCATAGCTGGGCATTGGCATACTGGCTGATAACCCCTACATGTGATTGGAGCACCATTTTTTACAACTGTTGTGGGGGAAATGCATTATTTGTCAGGAAATGCTTAATTTTTCTGCAGAGATATTTTTTTGTTTTTGTACAAATCTACGGTATGTTGCCTGGGGGGGGGGAATATTATATATATATATCTGTCTCTTATACACATCTAGATGTGTATAAGAGACATTCCTCAGTGGCGAGTGAGTGAGGGTAGAAAAAGCTAGATGGTATAAAGTGAGAATTTCATGCAAGCATGATTGGAAACAATAGGCTGGGTGAGGGTGAGATTAGAATAAACAGCCTAAACAAGTAAATATATGTGTATATATATATATATATATATATACACATATACATAAATAAAATTCATACATAAATGATGGTCCATAAACAACAGTGACTCGCTGGCATACAATATACCATTTGTTATGTATTTCTATGTCTTGATGATTCATTTATTTTCTCTTGGGATTTGACTGGTGATAGCATAGACACACACGTAGCTCACCTAAAACTGTCACGGTAAATATACACTGACCAATACTCAAAGAAGTATCTCTTGCTGTGTATATTACAGTCTCTGGCATGTTGATATAGAATGTAGAGTTGGGTTCTTTGTTACTACTGATCACTGGTATGCCATTGTTGTCAACAGCTATTGGCATTGACCAATCAACAACTGCAAAATTTGTTCCTGGATCATTAGGAACTTGTATATTATCTGGACAGTAGGTAAATCTTGGTACTACAGCATCTGTAAAAATGTTGAGAGTTTCTAATGACTAATTGTCATTTATATATTGTAATACATAATACATAATCAAATTATTAGTTATCAAGGTATTGTTGTATCTGCGACTGTTTAAATGTTGGTGCACAAACCATTATTTAAAGCCCCATTCCCGGCAAAATTTCAATTTTTAAAAAAAATCTAATTTTTGTATAATGTTATAAAGATTTATAAATATAATACGGAATTGCTAGTTTAACTGAATTTAGACATTCCTAAGAATGAAAAAAATGTAAAATAAGACTGAAATTTGATTTTTTGTGTTCCACACAAAAAATAAATGCGGATGAATTTTAGTGTTTGATTTTGCGACAGGTCGTGAGAAGAAATATCGTAGGCGCCGAAAACATTAGCCTATCTAACACTGCTAGGCTAGGCCTAGCCTTACCTCGATTTAGGTTCTGTCATCACACATTTATCACACATAAAAACGGCCGACATGATATTTTCCGTTGCTAGTATTGACACTTGTGAATATAATATTTCATAGGAATTATTTCAAATTTGTTAAAAAACTGATTCTGACTGAGATTTTGACACTTAAACAAACATACTCAACCTAACCGAACGAACGCATTGTGCGAGATGCGAAGTAAAAAAACTGATCTCACTAGAGAGGGCGCACTTTATTGACTGTATAAAGTATACATGAAAGCGAGAGTATTCCAGTGGATGCGATCTACAACCTCTGAATTTGCCTAGTAACGATGAATTCGTCGAGAAAATGGTAATATTTTATGAGAAATAGTCTGTATTTCTCATTTTTTTTTATTCTTTTGCGTAAAACTAAAATTCATGCCAATATTTTTCCATGATTTATAATAATTGGAGTAATGGAAATGCATATTTTCTAAAAAAGTCAATTTTTAGTGAAATTTTGCCGGGAATGGGGCTTTAATCATACCAGATTTGATTTGATTTATTAGGTAGTCAACACATAAAAAATGTATTAAACAATGACAATGGAAACAAAAATACAATTTTCTATTTTCCTTATAGTGTACAAACAAATATAATCAATATCAAGCTGCATGGTTCTCGTTACATCAACAGTATTGTACATTTTTATCTAATTTACCATTAAAGAACAGGAATATTTTTGGTAGGAAACACACTAAGGATAACCTGAAGATGAAAGAACACATATGATGAGGGGATGAATTTTCATAAATCAAACCTTAATCACAAGTCCCGTTCATATGAAAATTAGTTTAAATATGAAAAAATAGGGGCCACACCCCCTTTTTTGGGGGCTTGTAGGCTGGACAATCTGAACATATTGCAAACAAGGGTTTTTCTTTTATAAAAGAACACATACAATGAGGGGATAACATTTCAAATATCACACAGTGGTCACATGTTCCGTTCATATGCCAATTAGCTTAAATATGCAAAGAAATAGGGGCTATGCCCCTTTGCTATTTGAAGCATTATTTAAACTGCATGGCATGGCATTTACAAAAGAGTGTGGTATTTTCAGGCTGTTCGTCCTGGACAAAGATTTTGGCACACATTCCATGTTGTTCCTAGGGTTCATATTAGTCTATGGGATTTGATGATTGTTAAGGATTAAGAAGTCACAGTTCATATTAATGAGTTGTTTTTAGTTTTACTAGAATTTGAGAATTCTCTTGAAATGTTGAAAAACTGTTATTGTTGTTATACAGTGTTATTCATTGATACTAAAATATTTTAAAATGATAAGGAATGATAGAAAATGAAAAAAATAATATGATTTAAAAAAAAAAAGCAAAGATATAATCATTTAAAATTGTAATATTACGATGATGTTTATTATTGTTAAAGTTTAAAAAAAAAAAAGAAAAGAAAACTGACAGTGAGAAAGAAACAAATACAGTAATCTTCAGTATCATAACAAATGAAACCTAGTCAAAGCATGTAATTCCACAAGCTTATATTAAGAAATTATTATTGTGTACAATATATTCATATGGATTCAATTGGGTGATTTTAATGCTAAAGAAGGGGGAAGATGTAGTGTCTGGACTACAAGACTAGCATACCTCGTGTGTTGTTCGGACATGTTGTTAAATCAGGACTGGTGAATGAATAAACAACGAATGGCTATTGTAGAGCTGGAATATTGTTTATTGTGTCATTTAATTGTGTTTGTTTGAATACGATAGCAACACACAACAACTGCCTAGTTCACACACAAATGCCAGCCTTACGCTGTGTGTGTGTGAACATACCCTATAACAGCCAAAATATTCTCTCCTAAATTAAGTGCATATAAATCTTAGCCAGGTCCTCTACAGAAAAAGTTTTTGTTATCTTGACCCCAATGACATACAATATCCACACACTGATTGGGTATCCAGAAAAAAGAAATATTTTTTTTAACTATAGCTTTATGTAGAAAGAGATGGCAATGCTCAACATAATGTGTAATGTATAAGTATATTAATTTATTAATTTATTTATTACGGTATAAAAAATGTACAAAACAGTAGCACGCAGGTAAAAATGTTTGTTTTACAATTGGTACAAAATTTTGAAAACGAATCTAAATATTTAAGCTATAAAATACATTGCACACTTAATTAGTTTAAAAATACTTCAATTCATATTTACACCTAAAAATACAAATTAAATTAAGTAATAAAGAGCAAGAATAAGAATTAAATATATATACAAATTTAAATTTAAAAAAAAAAAAATATTATTATTGAATTACATAAATGTTGATTACAAAAATTAATAATAATAAATAGCCCTACCTGTTAATATTACAAAGAAGGTACATGAGTCAACATTCCCGGAGGGATCAATTGTGGAACACATAACAGGTGTTGTAGACTCAGCAGGGAATGTTTCACCTGACTCGTGGTCACATGTTACGTTTAATGAACCTGTATTGTCAGATGCTTGGATGGGTGACCATGTAATATTAGTTGTTCCATTAGCTTGTGCTGTAATGTCACTAGGACAGTTCAGAATAGTTGGTGGTTCCAAGTCTATGCATATAAAAAAGAACATTAACTTACTTTACCTGTGACACATTACAATAAATAATGGGTAATGTTGCTTAAATATTTAACAGATACTAAATAGTTAAAAGCACTCTTCTATGTAATATTCACCATGATTTTACAATTAATAAACACTTCAATGGATAAGTCAATAAGGCCTGGTAATATCAGTCTAGCTTATTTTTATTGGGGTCTATTCCCAAAACCAAACAGCAATAAAAAGTAAATACATGTAATAGGTAAAATCCTAATACTCAAAAATTAAGTACTTAGATTTTTACATTAATTTAATATTTAAAAACATTAATATAAGTGTTGAAATTTAAACAGGTAAAAATTAAGATAAAACAGGCCTGGTAAGTATCAGTCTAGCTTATTTTTTATTGCTTATGTTAATTTATATCTTTATATTTTGGAGTGGCACGCCTCTTGGCGACAGAAGTTCTCTGACCTCTTTTGCCACTCCATGGCGCATTCAAAGTTGTATTGTGTATTTGTCACATTTTCTAAAAACTTTTGTACCCAGGGTTGCAAGGGAGACCAGTCTACTTGACTGATTGGGCCACCCAGGTGATTTTGAATAGATTATGAATAAATAAATAAATGCTAAATAGGCTGGAAAATAGTAAAAATAGTTTTTATTGTAAAATAAATAAAATGAATCTTTGTATTGTATTTATGCCATTTATATTCCCACCTCTTCTAAGGCTTGACATCATTCTTTCAGATAGTCATTTTTTTTTATTGTCTATTGAAAAATGAGTAATTTTTTTAAATATAGCAAATAGCAAATTTTTTCATGAGGCTCCAAAATTAGATGAGGACAGGGAAGCGAAATTAGCAATTAATTTTATTTAGATGATTTGGATCAAAAACAATCACAGAATGAATCCATAAATAGCTTTTGGTAAGGAGAAATACTTTCTGAATTTGAATCTAATATAAATATAGATAACTTGGTTTTCATATACAGTACATGTATTAATGTGTTTAATATAACTGGAAGAATAAATGGTGGGGACACGGTTGAGACACATAGTTGTGTTATTATCCAGCAATAACGTACCTTGAATATGTATAAAAAAGACACAAATCGCCCATAGACCAGATGGATCTAATGCTGTGTACATTACTTGATGAATACCAATGGTAAACATATCACCTGAATTAAAATTCTGAGACTTATTCAAGGGAGAATCATTGTCAGTAAAAACTGGTTCTGCCCAATATACTTGCTTGTGAATTCCACCATCCTCTGCTGCTGAAGTTATATTGTTTGGGCACCCTACTACAGACGGTGCTTCATTATCTAAACAGACAAAAAACAAGTTATTCCTATGCAATGCTTGGCAGATTTGATTATATCTCCCATCAACTCACTATTCCTTTTTATTTTATATACTTTTTGAATTCAAAATACTTAGTCTTTGTTTATATATGTGGTCATATTCAATATCAAATAAGTAAAATTATGGAATAACTTGTATAGGCCTACACCCGAATCCATAATTAGTCTTCTGTTTGGGTTCAATATTTCTTGTTCCTGGCAAGATTGTACTTTTACTTTGCAGAATAATAAAATATTATTATTAATAATATTATTACCATTATCATTACACCATTATCCTTATTCTAAAATCATTATATTTTTATTATGTTGTTAAATCATGTGACAACACTAGAGAACCTGAACATTCAGATCCACACAATTTAACTTCTCAACTCCACATAATGTAATGCTATGTTTGAACCTGTGACACATATTTTACTAACGTAATTTCTTTAAAAATAGCTTGGCCTAAATGGTGGTTATTATTTCTTCAAAACATTTGGCATTTTTATTAATTAGCTTAAGCTAATTTATTATATAATTTTCTTTTAGCATCTGAAATTCTTATCTAATATGTTAAAGGTTACCAGCAAACAAATAAACTATAGATGGATTACCTGTAACAGTAATATTAAAGACACACCACACTTTGTTGTTGCTGCTGTCAACTGCAATAAACACAACTTGATGTTCTCCGATATCATATTCACCCCCAGTCAGATCTGGCTCAACCCTTGCTGTTCCAGAATTATCTGTAGCAGATACTGGATTCCAACTAATGGTTGCATATGTTTTACCATCATCGGTAGTGTAGTTAAGGTTACTCGGGCAGTCAATGATTAATGGATCTGTATCATCTACAGAAATTAGGGAAATCAAAAAAGATATGTAACAGATACATTATACAAATAACTTCATTTGGTTTCTATGAATATTGCTGATATTGAAATATTGTTTAGAGTAAACTAAATTTCAATAAATTTCTAAACGAAATTTAAATATAGGATACACTATTTGCACTATGGTAGTTTCTGTAATTAAAATTTCTTAAACAACTCAAAAATATAATAAAAACTCATTACCAATGACTTCAACAATAAAGGAACAATCCACAGAATTGTTGGCATCATCACGTGCTTCATACAATACAACATGAGTTCCAATAGAGAAAACATATGGTGGAATTGGAGGATTTTCTGTTTTATTAGCACAATAATTTACTTCATGCAACAGAGATTCAATTGTAAGTTTTACTGTAACACATAAGCTGGCAGAGTCATTTGCAATCGGTGGTCTCCATTGCACATTGGAGCTACTAGAATTAGAATGCACTGTCTCGGAGATGTTTGTTGGACACACATCAAAATACGGAGGCTCTTCATCTAAACATTAAAAAAAAAATTGATAATATAAACTATTAAATATCATAAATTATAATAGATAAATGTATATTTTTTGTGTAAACTTATCAATTGACATACAATTAACAAATAATCAACATGTGACAAATATTTACAACTATCATGCATGTATATACAGTAATTATATATTCAATATTTCCATTTATGGAAAAAGGCAAAATGGTTCATATGATCAAAATTTTCAAAATATTAGGAATATACTATTAATGGTACGTGATATTACCTATGACACTGACACTGAATGAGCATGTTGCACTATTGTTAAATTCATCATAAGCATCGCACACGACCAGTGTATTTCCAAGTTCAAATGTTGAATGTGATTCGGGTGAACAATTTATCCTGACACCACCTCCGTTATCACTTGCAGTTAGATCTTTCCACATAACAACAGATGTGGATGTACCAAGTTCAGTTGTGTTGCTAATGTTCGATGGGCAAACTATGACAGGAGGAATTAAGTCTAATAAAATAGAAAAAAATTAGTATATGACAGTGCATATAGTATAAATGTAAAGATCTAGAAAATAATAAACACATGAAATACTGTGCATGCAACTACTTTGAGCTTTCATTGTTCCCTAAATTTTATGACTCGGTTTTACACAAATTTATTTTGCACAGGGAGAACAAGAGTCTGTACTAGGGTTACACACATCATCAAAAGCTCCCGAAATGTGAAATTACACATATGAGTTGTTTTTGAGAAAATTTAATTTTTGAATTTTTTTTAAGAAAATAAGAAACCTGAAATTCATTATCAATTTAAAATAGAAATATTTCAGTGCAAATATTTCAGTGCAAAACCCTTATTATAAATGACTTCATTTATAAATAATAATTTAGAAAAACCAATTTAATAATAATAATAATAAAAACCAATTTACAATTTTTTATGTTAAAGATTCGTACAAACATTTAAATAAATAAACCTTATACCTTTAACTGTAACAGTAAAACTACAGGAGGCATTATTGCCATTGCCATCATCAGCAGTAATTGTAACAACAGTGTCACCGATATAAAAATCACTTCCTGAAGGCACGTCAGATACAAATGAAACTTCATTACCAGAGTTATCGGTGGCTACTGGGTCAATCCATGAAAACTGTATTGTTGGTTGGTTAGTGTCAGCAAACAGAGTAGTATCGTTTGGGCAGCTTATAAAAACTGGTTTTTCAACATCTGTAATAATAATGATAATAATAATAACAATAATAATAATATTCGAAAAGTAGCTCATCTGTGTTGGTGTTTGAATATACTAAACGTTTAAACTTTTGATCACAACACAAACAAATTTCATCACCGTGAAATTTTCGACCGTAATGCCACGGTCTTCCTCAGCACAATGACTGGAATATGACTTGAAGGCTACACCGATTTTGGGCACGTGATCTTACGAACACGCGACTCCAAAATCGGATCGTAGATCTTTGGCAGATCTAAAGGTTGTTATAGGAAATTATACCCCACCACTGAAATGCCTCCAAAATTTTATGGTCTGCCCAAGATTCATAAAGTAAATATCCCATTGAGACCAATCGTCAGTAGTATTGACTCGATCACTTACAGTTCAGCAAAGTTTTTGGCTGAAATTCTCTCACCTTTAGTTGGAAATTCAATTCATCATGTGGTCAATTCTTTAGAATTTTCAAAACTAATGAAAAACAAGAGAGTTGAAGAGGATGAAGAGTTAAGATCGTATGATGTTACAGCACTCTTTACGTCAGTTCCAGTGGATAAATCGTTGGAAATCATTCACACCAGACTGCAAAACGATCCTACTCTTAATAATAGGACCACCGTTACACCACAACAGATTATTAAGCTCTTGAAAGTATGCCTGAGGTGCACGTATTTCGTATACAATGGCACGTTTTACCAGCAAATTCGTGGAGCGGCTATGGGCTCACCGGTATCCCCCATCGTATGCAACCTTTACATGGAAAATATGGAACAACTGGCTATTAAGACTGCCCTTCATCCCCCAATTTGGTGGTACAGATATGTGGATGACACACATACTAAACTGAAGAAAGCTCATGCTCAAGAATTTACTGATCATTTGAATTCATTGGACCCGGATATTAAATTCACAACAGAGGGCGAGGTAAACCGTTCGCTGGCTTTTCTTGATACGCTTACAGTAATACAAAATGGTGGTAGTATTAATATCAAAATCTACAGGAAACCGACACACACTGATCAATACCTTAACTTTAACTCTAATCACCCTCTTCAACATAAATTAGGGGTCATCAATACACTTTATTATAGAGCCAACTCACTCGTCACGAAGGAGGAAGACAAAATTCATGAATGCTTACACATCGATCAAGCTCTGAACCGATGTGGTTATCCAAACTGGGCTATCAATCGAGCAACTAGGAGACATAAGGGCAAGGTTGACTACCAAAGGCATAAGACAACAAATAAAGGATTGGCCGTTATCCCATATATAAAGGGAGTCTCTGAAACCCTCAAGCGAACCTTCGAAACATTCGACATCACAACATGCTTTAAACCCACATGCACTTTAAGACAGTTGTTAGTATCACCAAAGGACAAGAGCCAAAAGAAAGACATCACAGGTGCCATCTACCACATCCCATGCCAAGGCAAAACTACTTCTGGCAAATGTAAGGATTCTTACATTGGGGAATCAGAAAGAACTCTGAAAACACGTTTCTTGGAACATCGTAGACCGAGTTCAACTTCATCGGAAATCTCTCAACATATACACATTGAATCACCTGGACA